TTTGAAGTTATGACAGACTTCCCCAGGGCTACTTACAGCTCGAATCCCAACCCCCGTAGTCATATGATCACATTTGTGTCACTCAGCAACTAACCTATGTTTATGCCCCTTTTCAGTGTCCTGTTGTCACATGACCACAATTTACAATGTTTTTTGCTGGAAACTGGCATTTCTTTCTGGTTTCTGCCCAAAAATGTGCATTGCAGGCGAAGGATTTGCAGAATGACCACAGCGTTTGCTTAACGACCATGGTGTTCATGACTGCTACAAAAAATATCATAAATCATTAGTTGGAGGAATTTTTAAGGATCACAATGCAGCATAAAATACTGGAGTTTCAGCTTACCTTACCCAAAGTTTGGCGGGAATGGGACAACTTGCCAAAGCCAACTTGCTGTGGCCAACTCACCATGACCAATTTGTCACAGCCAACTCATTACGGCCAACTCACTGTGGGCCAACTCGCCATGGCCAACTCCCCATGGGACAATTCGCTGCAGGACAATGTAACAATTCTTTTTAATTATTTAAAATAAATAAAAAAATATTTTAATTTTTGCCATTCACATTTTATTCTGTTCCTCCTTTTGCATCTTTTCTTTAATGATTCTGTTCCACCATTTCTTTGATATTAGGGTAACTCTTGCCTCACAGCAAGTTGTCTGGTGGCAAGATGACCATGGTGAGTTGTTCTGCAGCAAGCTGGCTGTAACGAGTTAGTTGTGGTGAGTTGGCTATGGCGAGTTGGTCATGGCGAATAGTCATAGACACAAGTTTGGGTCACCCAGCTCAAGACTCTCCTCCCTTCCCCATTTGCTAGAGATGTCAGCTCAAGGCTGCCTCAGTAGCAAGCTAGTCCTGAGACGAAAGTTCCCTTCCATCTGAATTCCATTGGAACAGAGAGGTGTACAGAATAAATAGAAAATGTTGAAGATGTGTCCTCAGCAAACAGTAAACTGGCCATCTCAGAGCCAAGGTTGAAAAGCTATGTGGATAGAAGAGAAAAGGTGTGTGTGCATACACAAGCTGTTGTCCCTCTTGCTAAACCTCTCTAGGGTTGTTCAGAGACATTGCTGAATGGGATTCTCCTGCTTACAAGCAATGCTTTTTCTCCTTTAGCTTAAATGTACTGCACCAGCCGCTGGGAAAAGGTCCATCAGCCAGTGTCATGTTGCCCACATAAGGAAAGAGTCTAACTTTGAGACTGTCTGGAAGGGAGAGAAAACACACTTGATTCCAACAAGAAGGAATGTGGACTTAGATGGGACTTAAGAGTATTTACAATTGTTTATGAGAGCTAGTTTAGTGTGGCGGTTGATTCAAGGGCAGAACCAAAGTATTATATGTATTCAGGACTGATCAGGGCTGCTTCTTTATAATTTAGTCCTGTTTTGTTCTACCTGTATTGTGTTCATGCCATTGTGTGAATTCCAGCCTGAAAGATTAGCTATGAAAGGTGAAGGAGGAGCTGCTACCTTGCAAGACCCAATATTTTTTCCTGTCTTCCATCCTCAATTAGCTGCTTAATCTTGACCTAGATCCGTGATGGCGAACCTATGGCATGCGTGCTGGGAGTGGCATGCAGAGCCATCTCTGCTGGCACTTGAGCTGTCACCCCAGCGCAGTGTCATGTCCACGCGTCTCCTGCCAGCCATCTGATTGTGGGGTATCTGCTGTGCATGCGTGGGGGATGGGGCACATGCAGAAGATGTGCATGTATGCGCAGGGGGTGGAAGGAGCACGGGAGGGTCACACACACATATGTATGCGCAGGGGGACAGGGGAGCGCAGGGGGTCATGTGCGCATGTGCAGGGGTGGGGGAAGCACAGGGAGGAGCATGCACATGCGCACTTTCGGTATGCAATGACAAAAAGGTTAGCCATCACTGACCTAGATAATAAAAACTGACGGCCTTTTCCGAAATCTGTACTCTCATTCTAACCAGGAATTTTGCCAATCATACAGCCCTGGGTGAGCCCTGGATGAGTCCTGGGCTCTCTGCTTGCTACAGGAAAGGGAAAAGGGGTTGCTCCCCCCCCCCAGTAAAGCACGGGTAGAAAATTGGTCCCTGAATAAAAGTGTGGGTGACCTCCCCCTCCCTCCAGATTTAGAGGATGGTGAAAGTCTGGGATTACTTATTTAAATGCATTTATTTAAATGATTTGCATAGCCATCTGTCCCATAGCTAGGACTCTGGGTCATGTACACAAATTAGAATCGAACAATAAAATAACTCAGATAGCAATTGTCAGAGATTGGAAATTATTCACAATTTACAAAACTACAACAACAACATTAAAGCCAATCAACTAACAGAGCTCACTTCTGAGGGATCATCTAGGGCAGGGGTCTCAAACTTGCGGACCGCAGCCTGAATGCATCACACACTGGCCACTCCCACCCATTTTAGCAAAGGGGGGGAGTTGCGATACATCCCGTGACAACACTGTGATGACAAGTTTGACACCCCTGATCTAATGGTTAATCAGGCTTGTTAGTGCTTTGCCTAAGGTTGGTAAGGTCAGAGCTATCTGGATCTCCAGAGGAATGGTGCTCCACAGGACGGGAGCTGCCAAAGAGTTATGAGGCAACATCTTAGGATACCCACTTGAGGTAGCCAGCCACTCAGCATGTCTCTGGAAGAATATATGTAAATGCATGTGTCATTAAGAGGGCTTTCCAGAATTTCTCTAAAGTGGTTTATCTGCCCTTCTTCCACAGAATCTCCTAATATAAAATAATATGAAGTAAAGATAACTGGAAGAAGTATTTGGTACAGTGGTATAGGCACCAGGCTAGAATCCAGGACAGTGAGTTCTAGTTCTGCCTTAGACACAAAGCCATCTGGGTCTCTCTCTCTCTCTCTCTCTCTCTCACCTTCCCTCCCTTCCTCCCCCAACCCCCCAGGAGGCAGGAAAAGGCAAATCACTTCTGAACAAGTCACTTGGCAAATCACTTTGCCAAGAAAACTGCAGGGGCTTGTCCAGGCAGCTGCCAAGAGTCAAAAACTGACTTAAAAGTGCAGGTGTGCACACACACGCACAAACCACCCTCTGGGGAAACTCCCCCCCCCACTTTTTTATAACCCTCTGCTAAACCCTTAATTTGGGGCTAATCGGTGAGACTGGATAGAGCTGAGCATTTACTGGCCAGATGCCCTTCCCAATTTTTCTGGGAAAAATTGTTCCAGAGTAGAGGGAGGCTAGTAGAGTCCTGAAGTGGGCTCTTTCTTTAGGGGAAGCAAGGAAAAATGATTGAAACTGACCAATGCAAGGTAACTGGAAAGTAAGCTGCCAAACCCCTTTTCAACATCCTTATTTTCTGCCATGAGGAAGAACAGGGCTCCCACGTCTGAAGTTGAAGATGCATCTCAGAATGTTATTAAAGCATTATGCAAAAACGTTCTCCCATCTCCTGCCCAAAAGTCGAGTTCTGCTTTCCTCTGCTCTCTCTTTTTGGGCAATATAGAGGGAGGCTTTTGGATGAGTGACTCCTGGGAGTCCCAGGGCTGGAAGTTGAAAAAAAAAATATCTGCAAAGAAAGCCACTTCGGTAGTACCATCAAAAAACTGCATGGAAAAACAATTCAAAAAGAGTCAAGGTAGACTCGAAGGTGTTCTTATTCCTTTGCAATGTAAATTTAAGAGTCAGTCACAACTGTCAAGTTTGTCTAAGGTTGGAGAAAGTGTGCACCGATTCTGTTTCATTAAAGATGAGACGCTTGTGAACTCTAGTGGAGAAGTCCAGCGGCTACAAGGGCAGGGAAGTAATTCACTTAGTACAGATGGGCTGTTCCTTGGCAAGCCTTGACAATAACAACAAAATTCCTTCCACAACTTTACTACCCAAGGCAGGCAGCCTCTTTGATGATAAAGAGCTGGGAAATGGAATTCTCTTCAGCCCACCATTAGAAGTGCGCTCAGATAGTTAGACCCTAGAATAGATTAAAGAGAGAATTGGATGGATTGTGGCTTTAATTGTAAATAGAATATCATGTCATTTGTCCTTCTGCCCCTGCCCCTTTCCATTTGTGTGCTTTATCATTGCTGCTACGTGTTGTCTTAAAAAGGAGAAAAAGAAACGGAAACGTTTCGAAAGTAAACGAATGCTTAATCTTAACAAAAGCCGCTTTGCATTTTAAAAGTCACTTAACTTTTAGGAAGAAGTGCACAATCGTGCCTACCGTCCCTGTCCGATTGTCCACATTTATTCGTATTTATTTCCTGTATTCTTACTCATGTTTATCCTTATTCCTACTATCTTGCAAGCGATTGACAAATCAAATCAATCAATAAATAAGATGGACCACCACTATAACAATGCAAAGTGTTCTTTGTTTTTAGAGCACATTGTATAAACAAAGCCAACGCGGGTCTGCCAGTGATTTGCGGCTTCCAGTGTTATACAAATATAATATCACACGTGGTTATTACCAAGTAAATGGTTTTGGATTGCAACCGGAGGGCAAGAACAGACTAATAATATTCGCGAGCGCGATGATCACTTTATTCCAAACAGGACGCGTCGTTTTCTTGGGTTAAAGATCAAGGCATTAGACCAAGGGTTTTCAAACTTGACAAATTTTAAGACTTGTGGACTTCAACTCCCAGAATTCCTGACCTAACATGACTGGAGGAGGAATTCTGGGAGTTGAAGTCCACAAGTCTTTAAAGCTGTCAAGGGCATGATTAGACGAACATTAGCTGGCAAAATAAACACCGATTTCGCTGCACCCTTCACATGAACAGTAGTCCCCTCCCACGCAAGTTCTCTACGGGCTTCTTTTTCGAAGTAGAATCCTTCATAAGGTCATCGAAGCACAGCTGATTTAAAGTACCGTAAAGGGAGTGGAATATGTTGGCGTATACATAAGCTCATATTTCTATTGCTCCTTTTCCGCCCTGCTTGCATTGTGGGAATAGTAGTTTAATCGCCTGCTTGCCCCACAGTAAAGAACTACACTTCCCGTCTTCCATGTGCGAGAACTGCGGTTTAATCTGTACACCAAGTGCGGTCTGTACACCAAGAACCTGCAGTGAGGGAATCTCTCACGCATAGTAAGCGCGGGAAACGTTCCCAGTTCAGAAAGCAGAGGAAGGCTGAAACCGAGCCAATGGATTAAGAAAGCGAGGTAAGGTAGGCCCGTCGGGGAAGGGGGTAGGCTTAAGCTGGCGGAGAATATCCACGGGGTTCCAGGAAGCCTCAGGACAGCGAAATGTCTTATGTTATTTATCTTCCTAAGAAGGTTATCTTCTTAAGAAGGGAAGGAGGGAGGCTGCGTGGGAATGGTGATCACCTGCTGTATACCGGGTACAGAATAACGAGGTGCACTTGCACTAAGTGGGACTATAGTGCGCAACACATGCATATGGATTTAGTTCAGGGCTCTTCAAACTTGACAGCTTTAAGACTTGTGGACTTCAACTCCAGAATTTTTCCTCTGCAGTCATGTTAGCTTAGGAATTCTGGGAGTTGAAGTCCACAAGTCTTAAACTTGCCAAGTTTGAAGACCCTTGATTTAGTTTGTCACGTTTGCACTCCCCGCTAATTATTCATTACTTCTGTGATAGAAGATAAAGAGAACAGAAGCATCTATCTGGTCCTGAGTGCACACCGGTAATCTTATTGGGAAGAGAAGGTTAGAAAAGGGCATGTGATTGTATTCAAAGTTTTATCTTATTTGGGAGGTGGGAGCTTATGAATTAAAAACATTTTTATTTAATTATCCATTGATGTCTCTTACATTTTTAAAGGTGGATAAAAATAGTATATTAAAGGCAACTAAATTGGAATGATAAAAATAATTAGGCATCTTTCAACAGTTATTCCATACAGCAAATTCAGCTAAGGCCCCACTTCGTTAAATGTAGCTAACATTATATTTTAAGGACACTTAATAACAAAATAATACATGTATTTAAGAGCCATTCATGGTTGAAAAACCTGGTTAAATTAGGAGGCTTTAGCCTTTCTAGATAGTCTAGAAAACCTGAAAATGTCCATACTTGTAACAGTGTGAAACATGTTTTCACAAAGTAGATTACATTACATTTCATAAGATTTATTCCTTCTTAAGTTTAAAATTGTGTTTTCAGATTATTGGATTGTAGTTGCAGTATATGTCAACATGTCTGATAAAGTTATAATACATATTTAGTCATTGGGTTGTCACGTGATCTATTTTTGCTGCAACAGGCTATTTTGTCTACCGATCTGTGTGCTCTGTTGGAAAAAGACCAGAATGAGTGTTCACTGTGCAGTCTTTTCTACAGAATGAGGAAGACTAATACTGATGTGTTTTGTGATTTTGGATAATAATACACAGTAGCATATATGGCCCAGTCAGGAGACAAATAAGACCCGCTGGTGTAGATTTATTGGCACATGATAGTGCTAGCATGCATATGGACAGTAGGAAGACCTCCAGATGTTAATATATTTCAAATCTCTCAGTATCTCATCATTGACCCTGCTATATCAGGAAAATGGGAGTTACAGTTCAATAACTTCTAGAGTCACATATGTTTACCTTTGTGCTAGAAAATTGTTGGACTGAGACAAAGGTGGAGAGTCCTGTCTTAAATAGGTTGAGGCAAGGTTTGTGGTTAAGAAGGCAAGGCCAAGTTAAAATATTAATACCCGTGTTTAATGGTGCGTGATTTTTTTTCTTTTATTGCCATAAATACCTTAGACTTGAATTCTGACTGAGCAAAATTCATATCTTTGTTGCAAGAGGCATAGGGTGCAAGCAATCACTCATAATTGCTACTTACTAGGATTAATTGGGGTTAATCCACTTCTAATCACTAGTTGACTGTTGCCTTTGTGTTTATTACTTTCCAGAAGGTGCCCCATAAACCTTATCTAGCTGTCTGGTTCCTGGCTGGGTTTCTGTACATGTTCACTGGGCAGAGATTATTTAACTGTTTATTTCAGATATTTAAACTAGAAACCCTGTAGGATGAATGACACAATTCTGAATCTGGCAAAAAAGTTAGCAGGGAATGGGGAGCTGATTTCCAGGATAGAGTTTATGAACTATGGTTATAGAAGAAAGGAAACTAAAAAAATGGAATTACATGGGATTGTAATTATAGAGAAAAAACAATTTGAAAGTGAAAAATAACTTACCAACACTTAAGAGATGAACTTCCAGATGAAATATGGCGAACTAAATAGACAAAACAAAGATCTTGTATGTTATGGGAAAACAATTTTTATTATTTAATCAATTTTAGGGACATCTGCAAGGGTGGGGACTCAGAAAAGTCAAAATGACAGCTGTGACTGTGCTGCCTTAATGCCTTGTCATATTTTATGTGTACAGGTACTCCTCAACTTACAACCACAACTGAATCCAAAATCTCAGTTGCTAAGCAAGGAACGGAGCCATGTTATTAAGGAGCCCTGCCCCATTTTATGACCTTTCTGCCATGATTGTTAAGCGAATCACTACAGCTAAGTGAATCATGCGGTTGTTAAGCAAATCTGGCTTCCCTTATTGACTTTGTTTATCAAAAGTTTCCTAGGAAGGTTGCAAATGACAATCCCAGAACCCTGGGATGCTGCAACTATTGTGAATGCATCCTGGTTGCCCAGTACCTGAAGTTTGATCACATGACTGTGGGGTGCAGCAATGGTTGTACTTGTGAGACCTGGTCATGTCACATTTTTCACTGCTGTTGTAACTGAACGGACATTAAACAAATAGTTGTAAGTCAAAATCTTTATGTGTATCATATCTGTGATACACATAAAGGAGTGCCATCATTATTTTTTTACTTCCTCCTACACATACACTTCAGCAAAATGCTGGCCCAGGCACAGGAAGCAGCTCTAATTGTTTAACACATTATAATTGAAAAGAAAATCCAAATAATCAAACAGGTAGCCAGAGAAACAGTAATAAAACCAGGGGTGGGGTTCAAATTTTTAACAACCGGTTCTGTGGGCATGGCTTAGGTGATGGGCATGGCTTGGTGGTCATGTGACTGGATGTGGCTTGGTGGTCATGTTATTGGCTGGGTGTGGCCAACTCAATATCACTCACATTGAGGCACGCATCTCCTCGCCTGGCCTCTCATGAGGATGCTGCAATAATCGTAAGTGTGAAAAAAGGTCATAAGTCACTTTTTTCAGTGCCATTGTAACTTTGAATGGTCACTCCACACAAGCAAAGTACCAGCAAAGGAGGGGGAAAAAAACTCCAGAGATGTTCCAGAGACAGGAAGTCTAGTCCTGCCAAGAATGTAATAAGTGTTAACGGAGAGGCAGTTTCTGTAAGCAACACCAGAATTTTTCCTTCCTGCCTTCCTTACAGGATTAGGCCAGTAATTTCTTCTAACAGCCGGTTCTCCGAACTGCTTAGAATGTTAACAACCAGTTCTAGCGAATAGGTGCAAACTGGTAGAATCCCACTCCTGAATAAAACCCTAAAAACACTTCAGGGAAAAAGCAAACCAAACTCAATTGCAATCATAACATCCATTGCATTACATGGAAATAGCTCATACCCAGTGGTGAGTTTCCAAATTTTTTCCTACCGGTTTGGAGACTGTGCTTCGCGCCTGTGTGCGCAGGGCTCAAAGACCTCCCTCTGTATCAACACTGGTGAGCTGTCAATGGAACCAGTAACAAACTGGCATTCAGAACAGTGAATTTTTGGAAGGGGCTTGTGTGCTCTGGAAAAACAAATTTCATACATCAAGTGCATCAAGCTGGGGTAATTAAGCTATAGTGACTGCCAGCATAGAAGGGCCATTGAATTGCCCTGCTTGATTGTTTGCAAAATGTAACTTGTGTGGATTACAAATTGAAGTAGGATAAACATTTTGTTTAAATCTATTTTTAAGGACCTATTTTCTGAGTGCTCTGCATTATTGGAAGTGAGTAACTCAGTTACTCCGAGAGTTAAAAGTTCAGCTGGAAGTTAATGGTTCAGTTATCAATTTAGGATATAGTTCTTATCCTTTTGAGAAGGAGTTTCCTGATATATGCACGTTGGTTCTGAGTCTCCATGTGCCTTCATGTGTATTTGGCTGGAGAAAGACCAAGTGCCTTCATTTCAAATACATAAAACACTCATTATTTTAATTTTACAGCCATATGGAATTTTTCATTTAACTTAGAACAACATAATTGGACAACATTCAAATTTATCCATACTACAGAATACATTCATAAGAATCAACGAAGCTTGTTAGTCATGAAAAACTCAGACCTGTTGATTCCAGTAGGGCACTATCAAGTACCTCATTATTTTTATTTAAAGCCTGTTTTAATGGCTATTGAAGGAGACCAGTTCTTTGTCCTCTAAAGAAAAGTGACTTAAAAAGATTAACAATATATTTTGGAGCATATTTGCTCTGCTTTTATAAGTGCATTGAGTTTGTTTAACCCATGGAGGTTGGCATAGGATTTCAGACTAGGTTGAAAATCCTGCACTTGTTTACCTTGGCACCAAGCCTCATTTATCTCAGTTAATGGTGAGTATGTAATGTAAACACTCCTTCAGGTCAAAGTCAACCTCTGGAGATATCATATAAGCGATGTCTGTCTCTAGCATTATTGGAAACAGCATAGAAGTTGATTTACCAGTGATTCCTGCTGAAATGTTTTGAAAACTTTCCAAATCCTGCTATTTCCTAGTGCAAGGGTCTTCAAATTTGGCAGCTTTAAGACTTGTGGACTTCAACTCCCAGAATTCCTAAGCTAACATGACTGGAGGAGGAATTCTGGGAGTTGAAGTCCACAAGTCTTAAAGCTGCCAAATTTGAAGACCCCTGCCCTAGTGGTTCCTCTTCCATGTATTAAGCAAGCCTAACTTTGGTTAGCTCTGCGAGCCAAAATCTAGTTGGGTGTTTATTACAAAACTTTACTAATAAGACAGCATAAAGATTGTATGTGTCGGTATCTTCTTTCACATATAACTCAATGTCTACGGAGATTCTTAGTCATCCAGGTTGTGGTTGCCTCAAAGATGCTTTTTCAAAAGGCAACTGGACTTCATTTTCTCCTTAAGGAAGATGTTTCCCTCCTCATCCAAGAAGTTTCTTCAGTTCAGTTGGATGAGGGGGGAGGATTTATATCCCTTTGCAGTCATCTGGTTGCTAGTACTTTCTCTGAGAGCTG